CCTCCCTGTCGCCCGTCCCCCGGAGCGACGCGGGCGACGACGCACACGAGGCAATCACACTATCCAGGGGGTCGTGTAGCCCCCTCTCACCGCCTGCCTCCACCCCCGGGGGGTGTATACACCGCCTCGTCCGGTGCGCCCCCCTCTCCCCCGGGGGTGAGTCCGCGGCCGTGTCCAGCGGGCCCGCTGGCTCGGCCCCAAGGACACGCAATTTGCATGATTCCCCTCCCAGCGCAGCGCCGCGCCGGGCGCCGCCGGTTTGGCAGAGTGGCTCGCAAGAGGGGATGATACTGATGACGCTGGCGGCGGCGGGGCCCGACCGGGCCGGACAGGACTGCACCCCGCCGCACCACCCTGGAGACGGGGTCCACCCCACCGCACCCGCCGCCGCCCGCCGCCTCGCTGACGGCCTTGAGATGCGGAAAATCACGAGAAATCCGTCTCCGTCGCAGTGTAGCACGGTGTCGGGCGGGTCTGCTGTTGCTGTGCAAACGTTTTTTCTCCGGAATTATCTCGTTAGCTCCAGCTCCCCTCGCGCTCCGAACGGCCGTGGCCGTGGTGCCTCTACCCCCACCCCCTGCTGAGCGCCCCGTGCCGACTGATGCGGGCCGCCGCGTCCGCTCCTGCTGCTGGACCTCCGGTCCTGCTCGCCCCGCCCACACTCCAAACTCCAAAATGCGCCTAAAAGCACGCGAGCTGAAGTTAGTGGCACGAATAAACGCTTTAGCTTCCCGCGCGGCATGAGCAGTTTCTGCCGCTGCCGCTGCTGCGGCCGAGAAGTGCTTGTCGGCGACGCCGACGACGACGGCGGAGCGGCGGCCGCGGTGAAAAGAAATAAAATAAAAATAGGCGCGTCTTATCGTCGAGTTATCGACTTTTCCCAACTTTTTCAATCTCCTCGTCTCGTCTCCCATCCTCTGCTCCGCGACCCGCCTCGCTGACATGGAGGCAGAATAAGGCCTCCTCCGATATGCATCACTCTGTTCCGTTCCAGGCCACGCAGTTAGATGAGACGTCGAGGGGTTATCGGCGAGCACTGCGGCGATCGGTCAGCGCAGCAGCCAACATACCGCGGCATGCCCGTCCACGCAGCTCCTAGGTCGCCCGACTGTGTGTGTACGGGTGTCTTTATTTTTAGACCCCCGTCCAATGCGAAGTGTAGCTCAAGTCCAAGTTCCACTCGTACAGCTGGGAGTAAAGGTCCAACGTAACGTTCCCCCCCGTGCAGGGACGGCAGTTTGTGCCCGTTGCAGTGCACACGTCACGCCCCGGCCGGGCGGCACGGCTGCGCTCGCTCCTGCCTCTGCTGCGCCTAAGTTGCCAGCTCAAGCTGTCGAAGAGGCGGCAGGTTTATAGGGAAGCTTACAGGCGGGGCCCAGCAGGGCCGGGGCGGGGCGGCGGCCGAAAACAAGAATCGCTTTTGGATTGCGCCCAAGCCGGCTGAGCTGGTGCCGGGGCCGGCTCCGGGCGGCTCCGGGCGGCTCCGGGCGCGGCGCGCTACAGTCGTGACTCCGGCCGGAGCCTCGGCGTCCTTGCCAAGGCTCCCTTTCAGCCGTTATTAAACTCCGCCCCGACTGTAATTACCCGGAGGGAGGGTAGTGTTCGTTCGTCAGACTCCGCAGCCTCCGCTGGAATTCCACACCAAAGTTTTTGCCCTGGCGCGGCCGGCGCTCCGGGCGTTGGCGGCGCGGGCGTGGGCGTGGGCGCCGCCGGGGTCGCGGGGCGGGCGCGGGGCGCCATCGTCGTGGTCGCGGGGCGTTGTCCCTCCGGCAGCGTGCCACCACCGCGCTCAGGGCCGGCCCCCTCGGCGAGCCAGCATCCTCTGCTGCTTTGAGGACGGCCCCCTGCTCGTGCTCTATGCGCCGTCCTCCCGTTAGAGCGTGACGCCACGGCCCGCCGCACGCGAGCGCGCACTCGCACGCGCACGCACGAGGGGAGGGGGCAGCGGGTGGTGCCGAGGTGCTCCACGCGCAGCGCCACGCGGAGCTGCGGGGCTCGCCCCATCGGCTGTCCCGCACACAATAGAGGCCTGCGTTGGGCGCGCGCCCGGCCTCCTCCGGGGCTCTCTGGAGCTCCTCCCGCGCAATCATTCTCGCTGCCGATAAACGAAGCGCGCGGAAAAAAAGGGCAGTTAGCGCCGCGGCCGCCGAATTCGGCGAGGATAGAACACAGGCTTGGGCGTCCGACGCAAACGGACGCCGTCTGATAGGGACAAGACGGAGCACCTTTTCTTCTCCGTGAGGAGAGCTAGCACGCCCAACGCATGAGTCTCCGGCACGCTAATAGTACTGCAGGATCACCCCCTCGCCCCATATCCCCGACATGGGGATGGGGAGCGGCGGGACGTGTGCTGCAGGGGATGATCCCGTCGGGGGAGAGGGGAAGGCGGGAAGGGGGCTACAGGGCCTGGAGCTAGATACGTGAGGAATCAGCGGGCGGAAGGATCTAGGCGGGCGGGGCACCCGGCGCTACCAACCAACCCCGCAGCGTGCCTCTCCTCACCCCCTCCCCCTGCAGCCGTGGCCCTGCCCTGCAGCAGCAGCTGCGCTGCGCGCTTGGAGCCGCGAGGGGGTAGGAGGGAGGGGGGTGAGTGATGGAAAGGGGAAGGGGGGCGAGCAGATAAAAATGCGTGCGGGGTGGTGTGGGTTGGGTTGTCTAACCCTGCTGGGGGTGATTGCAAGGTCATCGCTATGGACCGGGTTCGCCCGCCACCCCCTCCCTCTCCACCTCCCCTGAAACCACCTCCACCTCCTTATCAGCCCCCAAGGGGTGTGGGTGTGGCCCTGAAGAAGCGAGTCGACTGTGTCCTTGTCGACGCACGCAAAAAGGAGTGTAGTAGTGCAAACTTTTTGCTTGGCGAAGCAGCAAGTGCGGCACGGCAGGGCACGACAAGAAGTTGACCCGCGCCGCCACCGACGCCGCCCTGCCGCGGGCCCCGCGACATCCCCCATCGCATCGGCCTCTCCCCCGCCCCCTGACCCTCCCGCCGCATTGTCGCCCGGCTCGTCGCGTCCGCCGCCGGCGCGTGGAAACGGAGCACGCCGCATTGTTAGCCCGCGGCGGGTCTGTCGTCTGTCCTGTCCTGTCCGGTCGGCCGGTCGGGTCGGGTCGGATCGCGTCGGGATGTCACGCAGCCCCCCCGGTGTCCCCCCGATGCCCCCGCCGGTGTGCTTTACGCGAATCGATAGCAGACACAGCGCAGCATGCCGCTCTGCCTCTTTTGTGGCGCTGTGGGAGAGCCGGCGGCTCAGCGGCAATAAGCACGGCCGTGGTGGAGCGGTGAAGTGTTTTTATGCAAAACTTTCGCGCAAAGCCCCACCTCCCTCTCACAATCAGCAGCAGGGCGCGCGCAAGCGGCTTTGGCCGACCGCCCTATCGTCGGCTCAATGCGATTGCCTTCCGATGCTACTACCGGTAGGAAGAAGGGGTCGAAAACTGATTGTTCCCTCTGGTTCCGGAGCAAACTTCTATGCTTTGATTGCTTTGATCTTCACGCGCACAAATCATAGTAGGAAAAAGAAAGAGAGCTCTCTCTCCCTCTCCCCACCCCCTCTCTCTAATACCTACACACATACACACACACGCACACACGCGCGAGCGCGCGCACACACACACACATCCTCTCTCTTTTTGTCCTTCCCTGAACGACATGAGGAAGTATTACTTTGCTCTCACCTTTACGGGGTAGAGGGGCGGGTTTGCAGCTATAGCCACGCGGGGGCAGCGCAGAGCGGGGCCGCGCCGGCCACCGCGCATAGACGGCAACCCCTACGGCCCCTCACACACCGCGCCGCCCACCCTCGACCCCGCCGTAGGGAAAGCAACCCCACTGAGCAGCATCCAACATCGCCACACCACCGCCCCTCTCTCCAGCCGCACACTCCTCCCCAACCTCCTCCCTCCGCAGTTTCTTCGGCCTCTCCTTCGCCGTGCCTTCACACCCGGCTCTCCTCCCTTACATTCTACCCGCCCCCCTCCCCTCTCTCTTCGACCTCTTCCCACCCCCGTTTGGTCCACAGCCCTAGCCGTGTCTTACCGGCTCGCTGAGTACGACGGCTTGCCTCTCGCCGCGGCGGGGGCTGCTGCTGGCCCGAAGGGGTTGCAGGCGTAATCCAAGGGGTCACGGCGCGGGGGCTGCGGCGCGAGCACGCCGACGCACACACTGTCACTGTCGCACTGGACGCGGGCCACACGGACGACGACGGCGGCGGCCTGGGGTACGTGAACACGGCGGGGCTCGCGGCGGCACGAGCTCGGGTGCAGGAGGCGGACCAGACTGACGGCAGACACGCTTGCTTTGCCCCTCGCCGCTCCCCTCCCTACCTGTCTCTATCTCTCTCGCCCTCCCCCACCGCTCCATCTCACCGCCCTCTGCGCGGCGGCGGCGGGCTTGAGCTTGAACAGCGCGCGTCGCGCCGCCGCTGCCGCCGCCCGGGCGTCGCGAGCGAGTCCCGCGCCCGGCCGCCGGGGGGCGCCACCGTACTGCGCGCCGCGTCGCGACCCCGCGCCCGCGAGCCCGCCGCGGATGAGCGCGGATACCCCGCGGACGCGCCGGGCGCCTCGGGTGGTTGGATAAATGATTCATGCTTGGAGTCATGGGGTACGCGATGATTCTGATTCCCGCGAGTGTTTCCTCTGATGAAGCCGGTGCCAAGCTGAGTTTCCATTGAAACGCAGTCTTCTATTTAGGCGGCTAGCGACAGTGCGTCGTTGCGGGCCCATCCTCACAGCTCGCCGCCATGGTAGTCCAGTCCAGGCGGGCGCAGCGCGGGCAGTATTGATTGGGCAACCCCTCCCCCCTTCCCGTCCCCGCGTCTCCCTCGCCCCTCGGGCTGCGTGCGGGGCGCGGGGCCCGCCGCACTGCCGCGTCATGCGGGTGGGCTACCCACCCGGGCGGCCCTCCGCGCGCGCTCTGCGGACGCGGCCCTCCCCCCGGCCATACAGCTGGGGGCCCACCCCGCCCCCGCCTGCCCCCGCGCCGCCCCCGACGGTCCCTGCTAGCTCCGAGGGTTGGCAGCACTCGCGCTCGCGCTCCCCGTGTCATTCGGAAAACAAGACCGTCTGCGACGCAGAGACGTTGGCGTCGGCCCTGGCCGCAGGCAGCCGCTCGTCGGACTTGGGGCTCGCCCCCGCCTGCTCACCATGGACGGACACGGAGTGGTCGCCCTCCTCGTCGGCGTGCTCGGCGCCGCGGTCACGTCGGTGGCCTCGGCCGGGGCGGGCGAGCAGAACCCCGCCATCCTCGCGGGCGCGCCTCCCGGGCCCCTGCGCCTCGCCAAGCGGTACGACCTGGACCTGCAGACGTGCGTCGACAACTTTGACGTGCAGCGCGACCAGATTATCCGCACCCAGGACTCCAAGAGGATGGGTGCCGTCAACCTGGCCGTCAAGGATGTCCTGACCCGGGACGAGTGCCTGCGGCTGTGCTGCGAGACGGACAAGTGCGACGTGTTCGTGTTTGAGGAGAAGCAGGTGAGGAGGGTTATCGTTCGCGTAATTTAAGCGGGCTGCGCGGTCCTCGTCATCCGCTCGCCCTGCTGCAGCAGATGTACGCGGCCGAGCTGCACTGCATCGCACCCCGTTGGTCATTGTATTGCCGCCCGCGCTCGTCTAGCCATGCGTTTTGTTTTCGTGCTTCCCGTCCGTCAGAAGGATCACAACGTCGAAGCTTGCAGATTGACGTCCGTCCCTAGCCGAAAGTGACCATCCGGCAGCATCGCGACCTCGCAGGTACCATCCCCTGCTCCTCGGAATCATGTAAAGTTGTGACGTCCGAAATTGGGTCAGTCCGCGCGGATTGTTGACTTTACCTTGGCGGTGGTGACCCTAACCTAAAGTTGCGCGGAGGGGGTGGGTAGAGGGAGCGGAGGGCTGCGGTTCGTGTCGGACTGACTCTGCGCCGCCATAACCTCCCTCAGCTGTACAGCTGACGGTCGTTTGCGCGAGCACGGGAAAGGAAAAGACAGCGAGGAACGCCACGAAACCAACCCGATATGTAACGCCCATCAGAGTTTACTGTTCCGTGGAAAATGCGCTGCGTGTTCCATCAGTTGCCGTTGATGCTCGGGCGCAATAACCAGCCGCTTCCGCAATCCTCCTCTCCGGGGTTTTGTTTGCTAGATTCATCTCCACCACACCCGTCCGCGGAAATGAGAGACGAGAGGGGGGAGAGGGAGGGGGAAAGGGTGAAGCTGTAGGAGAGAGTGAGAGAGGGAGAGAGAGGGAGAGAAATACAGGCAGGGGAGGAGAGACAAGAGACCCCAACGGACTCGAGGGAAATCAACAGCCGGACGCCCGTCCCGCGCCTCCCGCGCACACCCGCCAATCGCAGCAAGACTCGCTTTGCTGGTCCCTGGTCCCGGTTGGTCCCGGAGGCCACCAATGGGCACAATAATGAACGAACGGAACGACTTGTTTACCCATCAATCATTGTGCACCGAGAGAAAAATATCCGAAATTAAATTGTCTTTCTCGTTGACACCGAGGGGGCAACAACTCCGGGAATCATTTGTACCCCTGCCTGGGAATCATCAGGATAACAATTAATAGAAATCAACAGAAATCGCTCAAACTAAGCGGGAATCTATAGTGAAACTGGTACAAATAAGTCGAAATAAGCGTTTTCTGCCACGGTGCAATTTCTCTTGTCTTTACTTTGCGTACTGTAGACTTTGAAGCTGTCTATGTATAGAAGGTGAGAAAAAAGTATACCGGTGGTATTCTTCACGATGACCCGACAAAGTTCTTGGCATTCCATTCAACGTCATTTCACATTTTTTGTTCTTTTTAAACCGGGTCTTTCTCCACTGGGAATTGCGCACCCCGGCCCCCTCCTGTAGTCTAGGAGACCGGCCGGGATCACTTCTTCCACTTCTTTTCCTCTCCCACCCCCTTCGTCAGCGGTCTTGCCGCCGTGGGGCCCGTACAATGAAGAAGACGCAGATGATAGCCCACGTAACAATAATAACAAAGTTGTCTGGTGAGAGATCTAGGTGCACATGGCGCTGAGCACGAGGAGTGCCCCTGCGCGGCTGGCTTCAGAGTACGGCAATTTTCCCATATCACCGCCTACACCACGACGGGGGACCGTTATGTTTCCCTTAACACCAACGCGGTGGTTGAGGGCCGGGGCAGTGAGGCTCAAGTCACCCTACCTGTATCCGAGGTACTTTTGACGGGACGAAACTTACTACTTGTAGTAAATCGTAGTTATACTGGCATGGACTTTATGTCTCCGATACCGAGAGTGGGGGTAGTACCTGAAAAATACGAGAGTCAAGAGTTAACACAGTGAAATAATGGCAATTCGTCAGAAAAGAACAAAATACATTAAGCTTTCCAACAACACGGGGGGTGTGGGTAGCAAGTGGGGTAGGGTGATTCCTTACACGTTTGTGTTTTGAGTTTGAAGCCTGTCACGATACACAGCAATCGACATCGACGCTGAGAGATGGTGGGGGTATCACGGGGATCTTGTGTGCGAAATTCTCCCCCGAGCCTCCGCCTCCGGCGTAGCACGGAGGCAAAGCCCCCCCTTCCTTCCCCAGCTGATGACGCGAAAGTTCTCTGCCGTAGTAAACGCGTTGTTACATCTCCGGCATCGGCGGCCGGCCGCCAGCTGGGGGCCTTTCTCCATGACAATGACTCGGCGGGGTGCGGCCAGCCTTGCGATGGTCATGGCGATACGGCCGGCCCGGCCGGGGACATGGTGTACTACCCGGTACTTCGCGCTGCGCCGCTGCACTTTACAATACAATTCAGTTTTCATTATCTCTAGCCTCCTCGATGGCATAAAGCGGTGGTTTGTTTTCTCGTTGTTTGCAGAGCCCCGGGACGTGCTACATGTTCCACTGCGGCCCGGCCGAGGACTCCCGGTGCAAGTTCACCCGCCACGAGTCCTACTCCACCGGCATCCTGGACACGCGGCGGCACCTTCTGAGTCAACAGGAGCAGGACCTCAGCAGCCTGAGGTGTGTTCTCCTTTTTAACGCGCGGACTCTTGCATGGCCGTAGGCCAAGGTTGCGCAGTATTTCCACGACCATCTATGTGGACATAACATATATGATGAAAAGCTCATACATTTGCCTCAGTCGAGTCGAGAAGAAACGGAAAAGAAACAATATTGCTCATCTGCTGTGCGTTCTGCGACAGGATACTCCTGGAGCCGACACCAGCCCCGATGATGGGCGCGCACCTGCTCGCGTCCAAGACGGGGTCCCTGATGGCGGCGCCCGGGACCGCGGCCGTCAGCGGGCTGCAGGCGCAGCAGGGTGAGTACCTCCGCAGCACGTGTTCAATTTTTTTCTGTACCCGATGAGGAGGAGGAGGAGGATGACGGGGTCCTTCACCCTGCCGGAGGGGATCACCGCGCATGTGCGTCAGTGCAGCATGCACAGCGTGACACGTCAAGAACACGACGCGTGACGGTGACGGTATGGCGACGTGTGACAAGCCGCGCTACCGGGTGAGGGGAGGAGGGGGGGGGGGGACCTGCGGGATACGCCCCGCAACCAAGCGTCTAACCCGCCTAGACATACGTGTTCGAAAACGACAAGGTCGAGCCAGTTGCCTCGAGCTGCACGCGCCGTTTTCGGGCGCGTTTTGTCTGTTTTGTTTCGGCTCCCCGTCGCGGGTCCCCGACTGGTTGTTACCCTGTGCCGCCGCCGTGGGCCGCAGGTCCGCCAGGTCTGGCCATATGCGCGAGCAGCACGACCTACCCCAGCGCGGCGCGGACGGTCCAACTCGATCACACCGCGGGGGAGGGGGGGGGGGCGTGTGTTCCGGTCGCTGCCCTGCCACTCGGCCCCGCCTTGGGATTTTCCGCGCTCGGCGCTCGCCGCCTCCGCAGCCGCAGCGCAGCGCTCGTCGCGGCCAGCGCTCTCCAGCGGCTCGTGCGAACGCCTGCCGGCGTGCCGTTCATTCTCCGCGCGGGCGACATCGTCGTGTGTGGCTCTTCCGCCAAGACGTCCGGGCTGAGAGTGCCGGGACACGCGCCACAGGAATGTTGCTGTCCGCGCTCGCGAAAACCCGCACGAGGAAACGCGCTCGCGCTAGACTGGACCCGAGCGCCGCTGGAGCCATTGCGCCGCCCACGTGGTGCACCGAGCGAGGGGAAGCGCGACGCGGGGAATCCGCTAGACACGGCCAGAGTCGAGCCAACCGGGAGTAATTAGCGGGCAGTGCGAGGATAATCCGGGTGTAATCCGAGGATAATCAAGGCTTAATATGGGGCAATCCTGCGATAATCCAGCGATAATCTGAAGATAATCCAGGTCAATCCGATGATAATTCGGGGTAGTCCGAGGGTAATATGGGTACAAACAGCAGATACCCGGCCCCGGATTGACTCGGGGTAATCCAAGGGTAATCCAACTGAGCCAGAGGACATCCGTTGTCCATACGAGATCTGAGTCGTTTCTGTACCCCGGTCGGCGCAGCAGTGCCATCGAGTGCCAGAGAGCGCGCTGTGCTGCACCGCGGTGCTGGCCGCCGACACCCGACTTGGCACTCGCATTTGCGCGGTTCAGCCAGCCGAGAAAAATCAGTTTCCGTTCGCAATCATCATAATGTACGAGGGTGTCCGGCCAGGCCGGTGGCGCTGGAGCCATTGGGTATCCTACCGCGCGCTCGCGGGCGAGTTGCCCATGCCCACTCCGCTCAGGCCGACAGTAAGGAGCAAATGGACAGAGCCGGAATGCATCGGCTCGCCGATACCCGTCCAGTTCGGCAGTAGTACTGTTGTGGCAGCGTGGTACTTAAGATGTTATCAGAGAATACATGCAGTTCGCACGCAAGAGCACACGCGGCACGGAGCACGCACTCTCGCAGTTCGACGTCACTGCGACGCGGTATACGCTGACGTCAAAAGGACGATACGATGGCCCGTGCAATCCGACCTGCTGGAGGGCGGTGGGACTCTGCAGTGTGGTCATCTTTTTAGCCATCGTCCCGCCCAGGCCGGGCCAGGCCCGGGAGTGGTCGCCTGATGACAGCTCGTCCGCATGCCGCGCGGAGTGCACAAACACGAAACCCGTCGCGTCGCGGGCAACAGCAGCGGAGGCCCAGTCCTGCAGCAGGGACGCCCAAAGCTGAGGCTCGCGCAGGCCGCCCCTCCCCCACCCGGAAAACGTCGTACTCCCGAAATCAGTACGAAGGTACAATGTGCAGGAATGTTTATTACTTTATTCACACCAGGATATATAATTTAGTTTTCTTCATCAGGGGTCCGTTTCGCAGTTTACACTGTAACTTTTTTTTACACCCAAGAGTGTGGGACGTAAATCTGGGTTGTGGTTGTGCATAGGGATCGTCCAGAGAGTACGTATGTTTTCCTCGAGATTAATTGGTTAAATACGTGTCCTCGGTGCCTCGGAGACTCGTGGTAGGCCACCCCGCAGAACACGCATGCACTGTAAGTAAGATATTGCCTACCAAGCAGGCGCCATGAGAGCTTGTATGGCTGAACTAGGTAATTCAGTTACGGCGGTTGACTGGCGTACTTTCTGGACGATCCCTTACTTAATGCATCCATTGACATTTGAAGCAATTTTCTCTGGATCTGGTGGTCTGTTACCGACGGGTTCTGCGTCTGCGCTCACCCTCAACTGATGACTTTGAAATTTTTCCTACGGCGATTAAAATGTCAGACTGTCTGTGACATTTTGCGGCTAGTAACTTGCTATTCCGACTCCGATCGGATCTGAGCATAATACATTTCCTTTTTTTAATTTTGCTAGAGGAATTAAATTAAAATTTGGTCTTACACGACCCAACCCTCCCCTCTGGATCCGCGCCTGGTGGGCAAATTGGCAATTGGTGGCGGGGCCAGGGCACGCATGGGACCCTGAGGGATTGACACTGGCCTGCGGATGACGCAGTCCGCACACATCATGCGCTCCCTGGAATTACCACACAATAAAAGGTTCCGTAAGGTCGCCGCGGCGTAGAGTTTCGGGTGCGGGGGGCGGGGGTGTGCGGGCCAGCGGCTGCAGTCGTCTTATGTGTCCATTTACACGCCCCGACCTCAGCGGGGTGCTCTGTGGACGGATTACGACCGGGGAGCCCCGCCGGGTCAGGGTGGGTGGGGTGAGCTCTTGGAGTGTGTGAAGGTGGAGGGACGGGTTGCATTATTGCAAGTGCTGGTGAGGAAGGGAGGGAGAGGCATGCGTGTCCAGTAGAGGGGTGAGGGGTCCTAAAAGGCCTCCCCACTCCGCCTAGATGCCCCTCCCCCATATGTGCCCCCAGCCCCGCGCCCGCCCGGCCCCGGCCCGCTCTTGAGCCTGCAGCCGCCCCAAGGCCGCGCCCGCCGGGAGGAGGCTGCTGCCTGGGCTGCGGCCTGGGCTGCCGCCTCGGCTGCTGCCCTGGGGTCGGGCCGGGTCAGTACCATCGCGTGGCGGGGTGGGGCTGGGGAGGGACGCCGCGGGGCGGCACCGCGTCGCACTATAAGACTCGGGTACTTCCGTCCGGCCCCCATTTGGCTCTCCTGCACCGGCCGTGCGAGTCGTCACCTGGCCGTCGCCATGGAGTCGGTCCTGCTCGTGGCGGTCCTTGTCGTGTTGCTCATCTCCCGGTGGGGCCGCGTGATGCTGGGCCCCTACTGGTGGGGCCCGCCCGCCTTCCGCAAGGCAATGGACGCGTTCCCGGGCCCAAGACCCACCCTCCCGCTCCTCGGCAACCTCGTCCAGCTCGCGTTCGGTGGAAAGGTGCTGCACAACGGGCTCGCGATCATCGGCAGATGGAGCCCCAGCGCGTTCAGCTTCCACCTCGGCCCCGTGCCCATGGTGGTGCTGACCAGGCCCGAGGACTACGAGGCGGTCATCGGCAAGCTCACCCAGAAGGCGACGTACATCTACAGCACGGTGGAGAGCTTCTTCGGCGTCGGGCTGGCCACCCTGAACGGCGAGGCGTGGCGCGTTCATCGGAAGCACATCACACACGCCTTCCACTTCCGCATCCTGGAGCGGTACGTGGACGTGTTCGAGCGCAAGGGCCGCGAGTTTGGCGACCGGGTGCAACGGCTCGCCGACGGCGCCACCAGCTTCAACGTTTTCCCGCACCTGGCCTTTACCGCCAACGACACCATCTTCGAGACGGCCTTCGGCCTCGACAAGTCGACCAACTCGGCGGTGAGTGCGGCACACCGCCAGGAGTTCGTGGACGCCATGGAGGAGTCGTTCGAGCAGCTCCAGTACCGCGTGCTGCACCCCTGGCTGCTGATGGACTGGCTGTACCGCCTCACCCCCGCCGGCCGCCGCTTCTACGAGGCCGTCGACATGATCGACGGCTTCGCCCAGAGCGTCATTGACGACCGGCGCATCAAGATGCGCGATGGCGCAGCGGCGGGCTACTCGTTCCTGGATCTCATGATGAAGATCCAGCCCGGCGAGGACGCCGTCGTGCTCAACGACGCCGAGCTCCGCGGCGAGCTGAGGACATTCATCTCGGTGCAGCAGACGTCGGCCACCATCATGTCGTTCGCGCTCATCCTGCTCGCCGTGCACCCGGACATCCAGGAGCGCGTCGTGGACGAGGCCGTCGCCGAGCTGGGGCCGGAGGGCGGCGTGACGTACGCCTCGCTCACGGGCCTCAAGTACCTGGAGCGCGTGCTCAAGGAGACGCTGCGCATGTACCCCGTGCTGCCCGCCATGGCCCGGGACGTGACCGAGGACGCGCAGCTGACCGACGGCGTGGTGCCGGCGGGCGCGAGCATCGCCATGGTGCCCATCGTCACGCACCGCGACCCCGCGCTGTGGGAGGAGCCCACGCGCTTCGACCCGGACCGCTTCCTGCCCGAGCGCTGCACCGGCCGCCACCCCTACAGCTACCTGCCCTTCAGCGCCGGCCCCAGGAACTGCGTCGGACAGAAGTACGCGCTGCTGCAGATGAAGGCCGTCATGTCGACGATCGTGCGGCGCTTCGAGGTGCTGCCGGGCAAGGGCTGCGGCACCATGGCCGAGCTGGAGAAGAACCTGGACGTCATCACCTTCCTCACCGTCTCCGGCGGCTTCAACATCCGGATGCGGCCGCGGGCCCCGAGGATCGAGCCGGCTGCCTGCAGCCCGCCGCCCAGCTTCACCGACTCCGTCCTGCGGAGGGACTTCGGCGCGGGCGCCACCCTCCCGGCGCACGCCTCCGGGCGGTGAGCAGGCGGCCTGCCACCTGCCACCAGCACCACAAACATTGCTACCTCCGCCCGCTGCAGCAAAAACGTGTTTGGTGACTCGGTGACTTGTGTATAGATTCCCAACCAAATATCTCTCTCTGCCATATTGTGATATTGAAACAGTGTGCGATTACAAATATTAGGGGTCGGAGTGGATTAGATGAAATTGGCTTCCTTTGAGTAGTGAATAAGTAAGTAAGTGTTCGTGATCAGTGACCCTGTAATGTTGCATCTCGCTCATATGTTTTAGTGTAATATATAAAATGCAGCTCATGACGGTAAACGATAGTGTCGAAACCGAGACGGAGCTGAACGCAGCCGCCTAGAGACCAATAATTATGCCGATACATGAAAGAGCCTCTGGAAAAAAACCTACGCGATAAATAGGCGCGTTTAAGTCTGGTGCAATAAGGGATGTGCCAACGACGTCTCGTGCAGAGGAGCGGGCCAGGGCCATTTGCGCACGCAAAATACACACGAGGACTTGGATAAACTTGACGGGCGCCCGATGTGTACTGCGGGCAAAATCGTGTGTGTGAGAGCGAGAATGAAATCTCCCCGGCAGGCTGGGCGGGAGTTCCCTCTCCCGCCGTTCAGCCAGGATGTGGCAACAGACCCGCAACTCCTGCTGGCCGGGCCGGAGGTGAGGACAGCCCGGCGTGCATGCACATATGTGGCGGACAGGACAGGCCGGCTCGTCCGACCGGACGACGTCCTTGATCGCTGTCAAGGCCACGGCGGTGCGGCGGTCCCTTCTCACTCCCTTGTTCGACGGGTCGTCCGTCCGTCCGTGCCCGAGGGGGATACCGGCCGACCCAACACGGAAGGGAGCATAATTGCCATGAACGAAAGAATAATAATTAGTGGCCCTAACTGAAGTATTACTTAGGGCCACCAATTATTTATCGGTGCATTTCGCTGTAAATTGCGAGTCTCGTAGTTACCGTATAAGATAGGCCTATTTTTGGATAGTCCCAAAGACTGTCTCTGCCGGAAGATAAAAACCTGCCTTTCGACCCCCCCCCCTCGCTTCTCCTTTTTGTAAAGGAAGCATCCCGTGTGCTCGTTCAGAACTGCGCGTCGGGTAGGGTCTTCACCTCGGTGGAACTAGGCTCGGCGCCAAGTCAGCCGGTGCGGCTGCCACTGTCGGAAGAGCACTCTGTCACCCGGGTCGGGTCAGTGTGCGACGTGAGTAACCGAGCTCTGCGTCTCGTGCTGCTTTTATCTTTCGATCTGATCCTTCGCAACATTTTATTTCCGAGCGAATGCGAATGGTTAGTTCTGTAGTTTTTACTAACTTTGTAAAATATTTGTACATAGATAAATTGAAGTAAACTTAGATTAGGGCTGAACAATACTTCCGCCAGCGCCAGGTGAAAAGTTAAAAGGGCTAGGGTAGGGTTACGCCACCTAAGGTCTCTGGCGTGCGCGCAGCGTCGCGTCGTAGCGCCCGAGGGGCAGGCAACCCATCCTGCTCATCGACGAGAGGGCTCCAATCGAGCCATTAGCGTATGACCTCCATGACTGTTTGGCCGCCTTTCTTGTGTTTTTATTGTATGATTTTACGACCGTCTGCCGTATAATTTGTCTCCGTCTGCGCTTTGTTGTTGTGAGTGTATGCGCGTGTGTGAGTATGTATGTGTGCATCCGTGTGTGTGTGTGTGTCTCTGTTTGTATTTGTATTCGCGTAGCGTTTTGTTTGTCGGAAATAACAGACTTTTCTCCTTGTTTGTTTACGTTTATTTGCCCACCTTCCATCACTGCGGAAACCGGTGGACACTCTGAAACACTGTCGCTGCTAACAAAAATTCTGCTCTGTCTGGGAATATGGGAGCAAAACGGAGGGAGGGGGGGGGGGCAGATAGCTGGAGCTTGCTTCGACGCAATGGTTTGACTGGGAGGCACACCTTTCTCTGTAGCAACACTGATAAACCATGTGTGCAACTGCAATATAAATACTTCCAAGTGTTCAACTGCGTAGTCGAACACTTACAGGTAACTCGGTGGCTGTGCACTTGGATGCGTGCAACGACTCCTCTGTTGAGCACTTCCAAGATTCGATGCGGGAAGTCTTAAACAGATAAGTTAAGTTGCACTTTTACTAGTGCATGCCCAAAATGCTGAATTGAACACTTGCAAATGTACTACTGCGCCCATTGAACATTTTCAAGTATTTAACTTGCTTCTGCACACTTCCGAGTGCAGACTCGGTTTATCCAGTGAAAGTTTGGTCACAGTCGGTTTTTTTTTATACGCCCAGTCCACGAACCACCATTATTTGCACACTGCAGATTTTACGATCGCTTTCAATGATTCTGACGCGTGCGACAGGAGAGCGTGACGTTATGACAAGGCGGCAGGGCACGGTGGGTATTCGTGATAGGGTTGGAGAGGGAGTAGAGGACGGGTGACGGCACGAGGGTGGGAGACTTTTTGCTTTGCGAAAGCGGCGGCGGCGACGTCGTTGTCGTGGGCCGCCGTGTCGCTGGCTGTGCTGGCGCGGGGAGCAGCGGAGTGACGCGTGAGTGATGGACTCCCGCGTGGGACTGACTGGCTTTGCCTTGCGTTCAGCCGCGCGGCCGGAGCGGCTATGGAGCGGCGGGCGGGTACGTATGCACCGGGGACAACTCGCGCGGGGCGACAGTGGGCGGCGCGGTGAGGGAGAGAGGAAGGAGATGGGTGCCGTTTGTTATATATTCGGGGAATTTCATTTTAACAGGCAGACATTTTATTTAAAAAGTAACAACCACAACAGCGTAACAGATGCAACTTTGAAATCAGATCTGAAAGAGAGTATGTAATCGTGCAAGTACTGTACCGTCTGTAAAGGCAATACACCCCACAGTGTTGCGGGTTTGCCTACCCGATCTATGCCTGTAAGTCGCCATAGCCCTTATGGATAAACCCACAACACTGGGGAGTGTAAGCATTTACACTCGGCACAGTTGGTTCGTCGAGGCGCCTGGTGCGTAGGCAACAACCGGACACGCTGTCTGAGCGGGCGGCCTACCCTCGACTCGTTAGGCGTTCGAGACTGATGGAGGGCTGCGCTAATAATGTAAGGGAGGCTTCTGCCTGGAGTCTTTGAATATGAGATACAGAGAGAGAGAAAGGGAAAAGAGGGGGGGGGGTCAGGGAAAATGTCTCCCACCTCACGCTCCTGATCAGGGCGTGCGATACAAGAGGAAAGCGAGTCGACCGCGGCGCGCACCGGCAGCAGCGGCAGCAGGCGACGGCAGCCTCCCGAAAACAGACCGCTTCACTGGACCAGTTTGTCAGGCCCGGGCCGCCACACCGACGCCGCCACCTTCACTTTCGCCAAGTGAGCTAAATGAAGAAGGGGGAGTTATTTGTTTGTTAAATGCTTTTGCGTCTCTCCGGGGGCGTGTCGCCTGCCTCGCCATACGTCCGAAGGAGTTGTTACGTATCGCTGCCTTCATCGACATTAAGGCTCCCCTGTCGGGTCGGACCAGTCGGATATAGGCGGGGAGGTTCACCTCTGCACTTGCCGCTTGCCGTCGCCAGCAGCAACACTTTCGCGCTCGAATCGGAAAGAGCAAGGTGCCGTGCGTATACGCGACGCCCAGCGTCCATCTCGCTCCCGCTCGCGAAAGGAAGATGCCGGCGGCCGCTTCGGCGCTCCTATTCGGACGATTCGGGAGCGGAGGCCAGAGGGTGAGGGGAGGAGGCGGGAGGGAGGGAGGGGGGGCGTTTGTAGAAAACGGAAGGTGATTTGCTCTTCCCATTCTCCGGGGCGTGAACGAACAACGTGTACAGCGGCGGGGGCCATCACCCTGTCGTTCTCGTTTCTCTCTCTCTTCTCCTCTCGCCGCCATCCTGGCCCTGCCCTTTCTCTGTCTCCCTTCCTGTCTCTTTCTCTTTGCGTTTATCGGGGCCGCCCCTCTGATTGGTCCCTCCCTTCACCTTCACTCCTGC